TCTTAGACTTTCTTCTAGTTGTGGTAACAGAGTTTCTTTATCCTTTGAGTCATTATTGTCAGATAAGGACCAACATTCTATGATGAGACCTTAACTATCCTGGCTGCTTTCTACAGGAAGAAATAGAAAGGTGTATTGTTTTAAAAAGAATTGTGTGGTGTACCCACACAACGCAGATGTGATCAACAATCTGGAATCTAGACACTAGATTTTATTATAATCAATAATGCAAGATAAAAAGTATTTACTGAGCACTAATTCCACTTTAGGAACCACAGGAGTATTCACAATAGGCCTGTAAGAGGTACAATGATGTCTCCACTCAGTAGATAAAGGAATTGGTGTGCAAGGTCACACTGATCATAAATAAAGCAATGGAGCAAAGATTCAAACACAGTCTGGTTCTTCAGCTTGTTTATAAACCTTCACATGCAGCCTCTACAGATCCATCTCACCTGATTAAAAAAAAAAAAAAGAAAAAGAAACCACCCCACATTATTGTTTCACATGATTTTTCACAAAATTTTAAATATATATTGCTTTCAGGTACATCCTACCAATCTTCTATGAAAGCAATTTTTTGTTTTCTGTTACAGTATAATATTCAGCTCTACTGAATTTTGGATTTTGGCCTAGTGTACCTGTCTATAAAGGCAATGTGAACATTTCCATCCTGGTCCTGTATTTAACATAATGGCTATACCTGTCAGGTTTGGGTTGGTTCCCTTGTAAATTACTATTGCTACAGATTCACTTAGTACAGATCTTGTACTTTTATTTAAAAAATTATTAGCTCACATTTGTAACATGAAATGAATACATTTATCACTGGGAATTGGAACCTTTCCATATCACATCTTGGTTTACTTCCCCTTTCCGTCCTCTTCCTCCTGTCTCCCCCATTCCCAGAGTCTCTATCTTCACAAAATTTATTTTCCACCTCCTATCATCTCTCTTATTTTTCTGATTAAAGTATTTATTCTTTAGTTTTCTCATTTAAGAGAAACCATGAAATGGGCCAGAGATTTGGCTCAGTGGTTCTGCTGCCTCTCTCGCAAGCACAAGGACCTGAGTTCGATCCCTGGTACCACACACAAACACACCAAAAAAAAAAAAAAAAAAAAAAAAAAAAAAAAAAAAAAGAATTCATGAAATAGTTAACATTCTTTGTTTATTTCATTTAGCATTTTGGACTCAGGGTGCATCAATTTTCCTACAAATAGCTCCTATTTATCCTTTCTGGCTAAAATTTTTAAAAAACATGTCTAAGGTCTTCACTAAGATGGACATTCTGATCCCCTGTGATGGATTCATGACCTGTGTAACTCTGAACGAGCTCTCCAGAATATGGTTAGTGAATCATGCGTGAATCTACCAAACTACCCTGAAGGGAGCAGCTCATCACCTGTTCGGAATGACAGCACAGGGACTCTACCAGCTCTTTTGCCAAGAAGCATGAGACACTAGAATTTATTTCTGTCCAGGAATATACTGATGTTTTTCCTTTTGTGTATTTTTTTTAACAAAGAAGTATTATGAAAACTAAATATTATGGTGCATAGAAACATAAGATTATGTTTACAACATGCTATAAATTGTTTATTTTGTTATTAATTCTTACATATTTTCAGTTGTACTATAATAATATCTAAGTATATTTCAGGACAGAAATTTCTCCTTTACAAATCAGGAATACCATTTAAGTTCACAGGTAATTTTTACTTTATAGAATCAATGTATGCATTTATTTGCTTTTAAAATAATTTCTAATTGACAGTATCATGAAAAGGTATTATCTTCTTTGCCACAGAATTATTTCTAGCTCTTTATCTTCTTATCATCTTATAAAGGACATTTTTGGGTTCTACTGTCTCTTGGATGGACTTGTATAAACATCAAGAAGTCAAACATTGACAAACAATCACAGTTAGAAGAACTAATGCTGCTTATATAACTAATTGGCCCAATTTATAAATGACTAAACTGAGGTCACCTAAATGAAATGGTGCCCACGGCCAGACACTCATTCCATCAAATTACATAAAAGGAATGGAAACTCAGCTATTATTAAATTCTGGCCTACTGCTACTTTTATTTATTTATTTTTAAAAGACAGGGTCTTATTATGGTGGCCCAGGTTGATTCTTGTGATTCTCCTGCACTGTTCTCCCCAAAATAGTCTTGTGCCACATGCCTGAACAATACCCTTTTTCAAAAATAAAATTTTAATTTTAGAATCATTTTAGATTCATAGAAAAATCATGAAAATATTATAGTCACATATCCAATTTTCCCTTTTATTTCCACCTTTCAATAGTATGGTACATTTGTTACACATAATAAACATATATATTTATACATTATTAGTAATGGAAGTCTACACTTTATTCAGATGTTCTTAGTTTTTACCTATCATCCTTTTCCTTTTCCATGGTCTTATCTAGACACATTACATTTAGCATTATGTCTCCATGGCTCCTCTTGACTGTGCCAGTTTCTCATATTCCTATGGTTTTGGATGCCCTTTAGAATTTTAAGATATATACTACCAGATATTTTGTAGCATATCCTCTATGGAGATGTGTCTAATTTTTGTCATGATTAGACTAGACTTACAGGCTTTCTGGAAGATTACAGGTAAGGTATAATTTTCATTGAATTAGATCAAGTGTAAATATCAACATGGTTTATCACCCACTTACTTGGGAACTATTTGTCAGATTTCTCTAACGCGAATCTATTTTCTCCATTGCCCTGTTCGTACAGAGTTCTTTGGAAGGAAGTTGCTATGTACAGCTTACACTTAGTGAGTGGGAAGGTCTGTTTCACTTTCTTGAAATGTTTATATAAATGATTTAGAACTTTTCTGCATTGGAGGTTTGTCATTTTTTCCTATTTATATATTCAATCACTTATATTAGTATGGAGTAATGGATATTTATTTTATTATTTGGGTTATAATTCAATACTATTTTATATGGTTGCTCAAGTTGTTTTAATTTAGGCCATGGAGAATTCTTTTAGGCTTCTGTGTCCCTCTGATATAATATGTTCACTGCATCACTGTGGCATTTGTAAATACTTCCTTACTTTCTGTCAGTACAAGATGCTCCATAGATATTTTGTGTATTTTGCAGCACCAGTCATTTTTCCAAGGAACCCTGGTTCATTTTACTGGAGATTAGAGACCAATCTCTGGGTACTATGTGGGCTTGTTGCTATGGGGATGGCACTGCTTCAGTGCTTTCTCAACTAACAGAGCAAGGGAATGCATGTGAGCACAGTATTTTACACAGAGCTATTTGTGCATTTCTAAAAATACTGTCATATGGAATCAGCATGGCAGAGAAGGAATGAAGCACTTTCTACCACTTTCAATTCTGAAATTCTCTGGAGTATAATGGACCCATTACAGGGTCAAATTAAGAACTTGAGAAACCTCAAGAACACGAGTAGTCATGGTGTCTTATTCTGTATGTAATTCAGAATAAACCAAAACTATAAGATGTATGTTAGAAGTCCAATGAAAGTCAGATATATACACTACTACTTGTCTTTTCCTCTTTAAGACATCATATCATATATAAAATCTTCCTTTTATTTCTTGTTTTCTCTCTTTTGTGCTGCTGCTCTGCAAGAGACTAAGTGTGTGTTTGATTCTGTCTACTGCCAGTACTGATTTTCTGATTCTAGGTACAAGACATACAAAACTTCTTGGTGGTAATGTTAAAAAAAAAAGCCCTCTTCCAAAGACATTCCATGAAAAGGCTGTGATGTCCAGGGCCTCTTAATTTAAAATGTCCATTAATGACTACAGCGGCAGTACCACCAGGGACAAAATGCAAGTATGGAGTCTAAAATAGCATCTGTTTACAAGTGACACCCAAGGCTTGCCAGGGCTCAAACTTCAGCATTCAGAATGATGATCTAGATATGCAATGTTCCTTATGTATGAAAAGATGATTTAAATTTTGTTTAGCTTTAAACTTTAAGGCTTGTGCTCACTTTGGCAACACATATACTAAACTTTAAGGCTTTTTTCAGTGCGCTAGTTCTTTAGCAAGATATACATATGCCAAAATATATAATTAAACAGAGTCCCTTTGGCCTTGATCATATATAAATGTATATGGCATGGCAGAATTTAAAACAAAGGCTAATTTGATATGATGATCAGTTTAAAAATGCTGTAGTAACTTCTTGGTTATATGTATCATGTGAATTTTTGCATCATAGCTAAGTTTTATGACTTTCACTCATGGCATCTTAATTTAGAACAAATTTACAGATCTTGATTTTTTTTCAGGAATTATAAGAAAAACCAAATATTAAAATAAGAGATTCACATTGTTTTGTAAAACTTTTGTATGTAGAAAATGAGATCTTTGATTTAATTAGTTCATCTTCATCATTATTTTAATTCTTTCTTTTTTTTTTTAAGACAGGATCTCTCTTGGTAGTGCAGGCTGGCCTGGAGCTCACTACACAGCATAGGCTGGTCTCGAACTTGTGGAGATCCTCCTGTTTCAGCATCCAGAATTCTGGGATTATAGGTGTTCATCACCATACCTGGATTTATTTTAATTCTTTTAAGAAACCTGTTACAGCTTTCATGTGGAGGGAGAGAAGAGGAAGGATCTTTTTCTAGCATTTGAAGGATTTTCTATACCACTTTTAAAAGTGCTATATAACTTCCTCTGCAACTCTGGTTTCATGTTCTCATGATGATTTAAGTTTTTTTCCAAGGAAAAGGGAAACAGTGACAAAGGGAAAGAGTACACTGGAATCATGGTTCCAACCTTTATCATGAGGGTTAGTGCTTGCTTAAGGAAAATAAACTCCTCCCCAAGGGAATGGTATGGCTTAAAGACTTGAAATAAACCTGTGGTGAATTGTACTTATTTAAAATGGGAGACAGAGAGAGAGAGGGGGAGGAAGGGTATAGAGAGAGAATGTGAGAATTACATATAGTTTGAAAATGCAGATAAGAAAATACTTACAGGAACATCAACATATTTTGCTGCTGCTTTCACCTTAAGTAGGAAAGAAAAGGGTAACTGTGAGAATTATACTTTTAACTGTTATGTACCTACTGTGATACCAGTTAAGAAAGAAAAAGAGAATTTATTCATATACTTACAGTGAATGACAGAATGGATGAAAAGAAAGAGCCTTCATCATACCTTGACAGCTTCGACAGCACCCCTTCCAACACTGAAACAAACTACAATGTAGTTTATGGTGAGTATTTAAAATACTTTTCTGCATACAATCTGCTAGCAGAACAAGCAATTGCTAATCCAACTTTACCCAACATAAAAATCCACAGTGATAAGCTGACACCTGAGGTCAGCACAATTTGTAATGTTTACTCTTTCATTCCGAACATAAAGCCCAATGCCTCTTCCCATTGCAGAAATGACACACAAATGAAAAAAAAAAAAAAAGCAATAGTCTAGTCATCCTAATGTGAGATCATTTAAAAACCATTAACGAATAGCCTTAGGTTCATGAGATAATTCCTTAAAATAGTTTTCAACTTCCGTACATCTGTACATCTTATTGAGTAGAAACATTGACATCTGGCATGAAGATCAATGGATAAGAGAAACTAATACACTACCCTACATATTTCCTCTATAGAACTAACATAGTATGCACTATTGACAAATTATACCTTCCCAATGGGAAAACACTGACAAGGTTTTTTAAATATGAAAAGGGAAATTAATCCAGGCTGGATTTTGTTCACATAGCAGCTTCTTCAACAAAGTGATAATCGTTCCAGGGACACAGCTTATTGGTCTCTGGTGACCGCGGAACTCACTGTGAGGGCACAGAAGACGATCTTTTCTCTACGGCTGATCAATTACTGCAAAATAGTTTATGCAGAAGAAACAAAATCTTCCCTATTAGTTTCTTCATAATATCATTTATGACATGATGTAAAAACACAGGAATTAAATCGTGCAGACTGCTCACTAAAGTTTTATTCTGTAAAGAATTATGTTTGGCTAAAGCATTATCCTCAGGGATCTAAACAGTAAAAAATCCACAAAATTATAAGTTGTTCACTACTAAAAGTCAACCTAGGACTCTCTTCCTGCCTATTAGGACCTCTTACCAATCACAACTGCCTAACTCAACTTGATGTGGTTCACAAACACCCAGAAGACCAATACTCAAGGGTTATGTCTGGCCAGGGGAAGGGAATTCCAAACTTAATGGCCCTCTGTGGAAAATGCCTTGTCTCTTTTAACTCAACTCGACAGAGTAAGTGTGTACTGGGTGATCTCATTTGCCACTAGGAGAGCGATGATTGCTATGGTTACCAGACAACCCGAAGCACTGAAGGCACAAGCAAAGCACGTAGTTCTTATTGCCTTCTATTGGATCTCTGTGTGTACATGTGAACGGAGTGCCGAAAAGGCAAGATAGAGGCAAGAGTCAGATTAGAAGACAATGTATGTGGTCAAGTTAAAATCCTGTTCCTGTCTGACCTCTAAGATAATGCCAAGTCATTTTGTTTCTCTTTCTTTATTACACTCATCAACAAAATGGGGAAAATGAATACATCCTGCTCACCTTACAAGAATGGCATAAAGAGTAGTGGTGATGATTTATGTGAAAAGTCATGATATTAAAGAAATGTAGAAATGTGATGATATACATGTGTGTAGCATATAAGTCCTCAATAAATGTAATTTATTATTATTATTGGGTACCTTCGATAGGAAATACAAAATAAAAGAATCTCAGATCTTTCGCTTCAAGAATATACAAAGTAGAGCAAGAGACAGACATGAATACCACAGAGCATGTCAGAAAGCAGAAGTACAGGCACAGAATGTAAGTGAAACTGGAGGAGGGAAAGAAGAGTGCTGGAGGATCTGGCTAAGCTTCATTTATCAGGGTGCACAGGAGCTGGTCTTTAAGAGAACAGAGGTGGAGCAGACAAAATGCTACTTAGGGAGCCTATTGGCAGGAAGCTTAGGGTAGAAGCTTCTCCACGGAGGCATCAGGAAGCCTGTTTGCCCCGCTCTCTCTTTATAGTATAAAGCATCCAAGAAAGTTGTATGTGTGGCCTGTGGTCTGCTACAACAAACCACAACGTCCTTTGCCTCCATTTCAACAACGGCAGACGCTTCTCTTTGGGTTACACTCTGCAGTGGTCCCTGGGGAGCCCAATCCAGCAGAGACTAAGTGCTTACATGCTGTGAACAGCCACTGCTCCTCTGGGACCAACCAGACGAGCCACACAGTTCATACAGGAAGGTTTTCTTTGTAAGAGTTTTGCTGAGGCCCAGGTGGTGGAAGAGCTACCTCCAAAACCAAACTCCATTAACATCAAGATTAATAACGGTGTATTTTCCATTTGACTTTTAACTGCAGGGAAGAGCAAAATTCCAAAGAAATCCAATTAAATGCTGGATGTCATTGCTGCATATTTAGCTGCTTCCTGTGAACTTTCTCTGTATAGCTCAGGGAGTATATAAATACTTATGGGTTTGCCTTGTGCTCTCCGATCTCCTGAGGGTGTTGGGTTGGAAGGAAACACTGTAATCTCTTTGTTTCCCTGCTTTCTATTGTGGATGCTGTACTGGGTTTGTTTGGATACTATTTAACACCGCCAGTCAGTTGGGTAATTACCACCTTTGCCTCTCCACACATACTCTCAAAGAAATTAAAGATTAAAGCACCCTAGAATGACTGGGAGCATAAAACATGAAGAGCGCCACAAGGAACATTGGTTTAAACTTCCTATTGAATTTTAAGGTGAAATATGAATCATTTAACAATATTTAAACTTGACATGCACGGCAGAACAAAAAGGTTTAAGAAGTGACAAGGAGAGGGCTGGGGATTTAGCTCAGTGGTCCTAGCACCTGCCTCCCAAGTGCAAGGACCCAAGTTCAATCCCCAGTAACATAAAAAAAAGTAATGAGGAGTCCAGCTATAGGCTAATGGTTTCAAAATATAGTTATTGCTTTTTTAATGAAGACATTTCATGGGGTAAACACGATATATCTTCAAGATTTGCACTGCCAGTTATAAAATCTTCAATAGAAAAGACAGTCATCTGGAAGACTGATAATAAAAAAATAGGCATTTTTCGGCAAAAGGGAAGACTAGGGATGTTTATTAGCATGTTTTGGTTTTGTTAAAATGAAGACTAACCAGCATTATTATAATTCCACATACAACCAGAATATCACAGGATACAAAAAAAAAGTTTTTCTTCCCTGTATCATTAAGCTACTTTTCATGACACAAAGTAATCCACTATCTCTTTGCAGCTTTGTTTCAACTGGCTCTAAAACAGACCACGCACATCTACACAAAGGATGGACAGCACCTGATGGAATGTGTTTATTCACATCTTATTCTGCAGATCCTCTAAGACAGCTCATCCAGATGTTGGTGAATTCACTGTCTTCTCTCACTGTGTCTTTTCTCCATTCAGAGTGACCTATCTTATTTTCTGTAACCTTTCCACTGTGGCTCCTAATACTTTGTACCACTCCTTTTAAGCACACATCTTGGAAAGGAACAGGTGCCTTGTGAATATATGGCCTTGATCCAAACAACTAAATTTAATGAAGTTAATTTCATCAGGCTGAGTTGGCAAGACAGTTTCATTACCTCCTCTAGGCAGTCATGTAAGATGTGTTCTCTATGCTAGTCAAGAGAAGTTCGGGGGAAAAGATTCTAAATTATAAAAAAGGATATGTGTGTGTACGTGCATATACCTATACATCTGCATCTGCATAGTCAGTGAGAAAGCGTCTCTTTTTTTTCTAAACCCCCTCTCCCTTTTCTTTTGTTTTAGCAAAAAAGCAAGTATACAGGAAGTTGAGCATTATTGTGGTGATTTTTAAATTCACAGCCAGAATCGACAGAACCTCAGCTGTAGGAATGTGTTATAAGAGTTGTCATTTTCTCCTTCTTGGCTCTGCTATTTTCTCTGACCAATAATTCCCCTCTGTCCTCCAGTTTTTGTATGGCACCTTCATCCCTCCCTACAATGAATTCCACTCTCACCCACCTGATTCACAGTTGCCCTGCCATCATACATTCCCAAACGGGGCCTGCAGCATGCATACCTGAGTATGTATATGTCACGCAAGGACACACAGACCAGTCCATACAACCTGGACAGAATGAGGGCATGACTGCAGGATGAAGCCACCACTCTTTCCCTCTCCGGTCTTGTTGTATTATGACAGGTTACAATCTTAGGGGCCACCAGGGTCAACTTCTGGCTGTGCTGCTCTCTGTCCACCTTGTGACCTGGCATCTCTATTTTCTCATTTGCAAACAAAGGGGCAGAACTGTGGCAATCAGGCCAACTTAATTAAATTTAATATAAGGTTACAATATAAATACGCATTTCTTTTCTTTTTTTTTTTTTTGAGACAGGGTCTCACTATGTAGTTGAGAATGACCTGGAACTCACTATGTAGTCCAGGCTGGTCTCGAACTCACAGTGATCCTTCTGCCTCAGCCTCCCGAGTGCTGGGATTACAGGTGTGCGCCACCACACCTGGCCAAATATACATTTCTTATATCCTTTCCTTGACAAGATTTACTGTCTTTCCAATTTTTCTTGGTAAAATGATTAAATTCCTTTCAGGTTGGAAACAACTCTGGTTTACCCCTTTCTTTGAAGCTGCTTTCTATTTCTTTTTCTTCTTTTTTTTTTTTTTTTTTTTTTTTTTTTTTTTTTTTTTTTGCTGCTATTCTTCTGTGAGGACTCCAGTTACAGCACCTCAATCCCAGAATAGCAACTATAGACACAGAATCCTTTCAATTATTGAAATTTTTATATCTTTAGTAAGTTTACTGGTATGTTTTAGGTATACAATACAGTTACAGTCATCATTGGGATCTTGTACCTTTACATGATATCAGTATTTTGAACCCATCTTCCTCCTGAACTCAAGATCCAAGTATCCAAATGTCTCCTTTGACATCTCTTCCCTCAGATACCTAAAGGTATCTCAGTCTCAACAGATAAGTCATGTCAACCATGACGTCATGGCCTTGACCTCAATCTCTTTCTCTTCTAGGCACCTGAATTAGTAAATGACATTATTATCCATTCCATGTCTCAAGCCATAGATGTAAAAGTAATTGCTAATGTTTTCCTTTACTAAAACTTTTTAGGTTTTAGTACAGCACATCTTAAATGCCTTGGATTAGTTTATGAGAGACCAATGTAATGGCTTCTAAAATAACCACTCTCTAATGTGCTTGAATGTTCTAGTCCACAGCTGATTAATTCTTTCCCCAACTCTCCATCTTCTCCATCCTTCAGTGCCTTCCTATTGTTCTTAAGTTGAAGACATCAAGCTCCTGAGTCCATCCTACAAGCTCCTCCCGACCTCCGCAGCTTCATTTTGCACCAGGTCTAGGGACCCGCAAGTTCTCTTACCTGACCACTATTTTCATCCGTCTTTTCTCAGTTAATCCTTTCATCCTTTGGAACTCAGTTTACACTTCAGCCTAAGAAAACTCTATCCTCCAACTAGAGGAGCCACACTATAATACATATTTGTGATACATTTGTTTAGGGATACTTTATGTTTGTTAGTGACTCTTGCAAGGGTCAGAAAACTTGCTGAGGGCAAGGACCTTGCGTGTTCTGCTCAGCACTTTCTCAATGGCTTTGAACATCCTGCCTGGCATACAGCTACATCCTGTACCTCTATGGTGCCTCAGGGTCATGAATTTCAATCTATTTATTTCCCCTTCTTCATTAGAGACTCAGTCATTGTATAGAATCCTCCCCTCTATATAAAATATTATATTAAATATATACTCTTATGCAAGTTCTGTATCTCATGTTCCAGTAATAATGTCAGAGCAAACTTTTTAGCATTTTCCACATTTACTGTCTTCTTCTCTTATTGCCATTCACTTAGCAAACACTTTGAGTGCTTGTTACATGAACAGCAGTGCACAAAGCATAATGGGAAAGAGACCAAGACTCCTGCTCTCAAGATGTTCAGAGACACACATGTAACCATGTGGTAAAGTATAGAGGAAGGCACTAGGGTGCCTAGAGGATGTGTCCAGTTCAATTTTCAGAGAAAAGGAAAAAAGGGCACCCCAACAGGGGACAGGTTGTGAACAGTACAGAGGTCTGGGCAAATATGAAACTACTACAATGCTGGAAGTGCTAGAGCCTAGGATGTGGGTGACAGTGTTGCAGAGGCAAAAGCAAATAGACTGTGGAGGGAGTTTTAGGTGATGCTACAAAGTTTTTCTTATGGGTCAACCTTTCATAATCTCCACTTTAAGAACTACTATCTCCTGTAAGACTTAACTAGGAATTCTGTAGAAAAGGGTCTTTGGGCTCATTAAGTGTAGAAATACCACATCTTTAAAACCTGCACCATTATGAACCTTAAGGAATCCAGTACTCCCCACATGCATCAGCAAGCTCTTCTCACAGCACATTGCCAAAACTCAAGAGCACAGTGCTCTGCAGGTACAACTCAGGACACGATGGCAAAGCAATGGGGAGCTTCTAGAACATGACGCACTGGCAAGAAATGGTAGAGATCAGTGAGGCAAGACTTTCTGTGAAGAAGGCAGGGATGAAGGCTTGGAAGAAGATGGGGATGCCAGTGAGAATGGAGCAGAAAAAGGGAGCTTCAGGAGATCGATCAACCAAGGCCTCGTGTCTTCTTGAGAGAGGAACTTGAGAGGATTCTAGAAATTCAAGGATTCTAGGATGCAGAGGTTTAACAGTGGGGAGTCATCAGTATTATCAAGGGGGACACAGCAAATGCAGAACAAAAAGCAGCTGGGGCGGTGATATGGGACTTTACACATATATACATGAAAAATGGAAAATACGGGTTTGTAGGTGATGACAAAATGGCTCTCATGATTTTTTTTCTGCTCTACTTGCCTATAGATGTAGATCTGTGAGCCTGTCTCTCTCCTGTCCTTGCACAGGGTGTGTGGCCACCATGGTGCATTAGAGGCAGTAGTAAGGAAAGGTTGGCTTTTGCATTAGCTGCAGCATCAAGCTCTGCAGCAGCAACTCCCAATGGCTTAAGCCATAGCCTTAACAGAAGCCACATCTATATCACAGTAGGGAGTCGGGGAGAAAAGGAAATGATCTTTGTATTTGCCTACTTGGTAGAGGAACTGAAAGGCATATGTTAGTGTGTCAAACTATCAATGGAGGTAGTTCAATTCAGTATAATATTGCCTAAAAATTCACTTTTACAACTTTGAGGGAGGTTGAAAGTGAGGTGATTGAGCAACTGATGATTTGGATCATGTAAGCCAAAGAAGTTGTGACAGTGAGATGGAGCAAGAAATGACAGAGAAATAGGGAACAAAGGTCTTGATTCAGATGAGGAAGACAACAGAAAGGTAAAAATACTTGACTAGTCAAAATGGTACAAAATGGTCATGTTTATCTCAGCGATCCAGTTATTAGGTTCTTGCCGGGAGTGAAACCTTTTGGACAAAATGCCAACACTGTGATTTAATGTTGGAAATTATTTGTAATGGACAATATGCCACAAGATGTTGTGGAATATACAAAAAATGAGACATAAGTAAAATTTTCTATAGGCACCAATAGTGATATGCAAAAATATGTTTATCATGGCACCTCACTATCCATACTAAAAGCCTATCTAGGTCTGTTGTATGTAGCAGGACTTTCTAATTATCAGAAGCTAAATGATTGATGGAGAAGTGAAGGATACAGTGTGAAAATTTTTAGAATAACAGATACTCCAGAGATTTGGTTTCCTTCAAAACTGCTTATGTTTTGATGACAAAAAGACTTGCTAAGAAAGAAAAGACTTCAACAATTTGACTAGCAGTCGCTCATTTTTTGAAAGCTTTGTCTCAAACTGTCAAGCAATTTATACACTGTCTGAATACATGACAATCGATGAACAACTTCCATCATTTTGTGGTTGTTGTAGCTTTCAGCAGTATATGCCAAATAAACCTCCCAAATGTGGTATAAAAATATATACCTTGGTGGATATGAAGACATTTTACAATTTGAATTTAGAAATTTATCCTGGAACTTAGCCACTGGGTCTTTATTCACGCAGTACATAAACCATACAATGTGAACAGACTTGTACCTATTTCAAAAAGTAACTGAAATGTCACATTCCACTATTGGTTTACTCATACTCACTTGTGTTACATCTGCTAAAAGAACACCACTTGACTAGCACAGGAACTATTCACACGAACCAAGCAGAGATTTGTGAAAAAATGTTGCAAGTTCAAAACAGAGAAATGTATAGAACAATCCTTGGATTTCAGAAAGACTGGCCTCATAGATGATGAATAGAAGAAAAGTAGTACTAATACTGTATCATGATGATAAGATTGATAGTGGATCCTCAACACGAACGAAGCCAGAAATTATAACATTTTACAACAAAACAAAATGCAGAATAGATGTTGCTGACAAGTTATGCAGCATGTATGATATCTCTCCAAACACAAAGTGTTGGCCAATGGTTGCATTTACTCAATCCTAAAAATGTCAGATATAAATAGGATCGTAGTGAGCAAAGAAAATAACAAGCTCAAAATATCACAAAGATTTTCTTAAGGAATTGGGACTGGAATTGATAAAAGATTAATTACAACAGAGGAAGAACAATATGTATCTGCCAAATGAACGCAAAAGAATTCTGGAGCATATCAGTGAACAGACAGGTGAAACATCACAAGAACCTCCTAGCCGAGCAACAAAACCAGTGAGATATCAAGTACACACACCCTAAAAGACCGCAAAATAAAATGCATGTGCTATCACTGTAAGTGATTCTTGTATATGGAACATATTTGTAGATGTGAAAACTGTTAGGCATCATAATTGAAGTAGATTATTCTTGTAGAGCTTTTATTTTCATTTTAGTTCATATAAGATTTTATTTAAGTCTTAGATTTGTAAACAAAAACAGTTGATGTTGAAACATTGATATTTATTATAAACATTCAATACATTAAAATTTAATACTTTATTTTGATAGTTTATTGTCCCGTTAAGTACACATTATATGATAAGAACCTCCTAACAAAACAATAATACCAACAAGATGTCAAATGTGTTTCTACAAAAAAAGACAGGAAAACAAAACACATGTGCTATCCCTGTAAGTGATACTTGATACTTGTGCATGGAATATGCAGTTTTCATGTGTGAAGACTGCCTAGGTGTCATGATTGAAGCAAAGATTTTAGCTGTAGAGTTTTATTTTTAATTTTCATTTTAGTTCATATAAGAATTTCTTTTTTAGATTTTTGAAAAAAATAATGTTAAAAATGTTTAATATAAATACATATTAAATATTCAAAAAAGGTAGCAATCACAACAGCCTCAAATACTATTTATTTATTTATTTATTTATTTTTGGTACCAGGAATTGAACTCTGGTCCTTGCGCTTGAGAAGCAGGCTGCGAAACCACTGAGCTAAATCCGTGGCCCTTAAATACTATTTAAGTAGCATTTACATTGTGTGAGCCACTGTTCCAAGATCTATCTGCATTAATATTCATTAATACTAATAAATACTAGTCCATACTAATAATTAACAATGGTATTCTAATAAATATTCTTACTTTATAGGTGAGGAAACGGAGCCACAGAGAGCCTGCCCAAGACAGACAGCTGCTGGTAGAGTCAGAATCCAGGCATGAAGAGGAGCTTTTATCTAAAATTTCACAATGCTTCTCATTCACACATATTCATATATTTATATATGAATGTTATATATATATCTGTGAATATTTTATATACACACATGCATAACAAAATACAAAGATTGAATTCAAAAATTCTAAAGAGACCTTTCACAGAAGATTTGATAAAGCAGAAAAAAGAATAATAAAACTCTAAGACATGTCATTTGAAATTATCCACTCACATGATCAAAAAGAAAGAGTGAAAACAGCAAATCAAATCAAAGGACTTATGCAACATCATCAAACAAACCCATACAGGGCTGGGGATTTAGCTCAATGGTTCTGCCACCTGCCTCATAAGGACAAGGCCCCAAGTTCAATCCCCAGTGCCAAAGACAAAACAAAACAACAAAAACTCAGCATATACATCCAACAGGAATATAAAAAGGAGAAAAGAAAAAGAAACAGGAAAACCTTTTTTTCATATATGTATTTATTTCAGGATAGGGTCACGTTAAGTTGCCCAGGCTGTGCTTGAAGTTGTGATCCTCCTGCTTCAGATTCCCAGAGTGCTAAGATTACAAGCATGTGGTACTACACCTGGTGGGGGGGGGAGAGAGAGAGAGGGAGGGAG